ATTACATTCATTCATGCATTTATTATCATAGCATTATCATTGAATCTTTAATTATGGTACTATGGTGCAAGAATAGCTTCTCATCAATATAACACTTGGGCTCGAGCTAGAAAGATGGAATAGAATAATACAAGTCACTTTGAAAAGATAGAGAAAGCCCAAAAAGCATTAGAGGGAAAGCTGAGCCAAAGTTTGGAGGCCTTGGAAAAGATAAATAGGGGAAAATCAGTGGAAAAATATACTTAAGAGAAAGCTACTAAATTGACATATCCTCCAAGCATTAGCCCGCCATAAAATCAAATCATACCATTCTTCCAGCCTCAATAGGCAGCTCTTCCAAAGTACAACTACCCAAGAATGACCTATGCACCAGGTCATAAGAATGTCTAAAGCTATAATAATTCTATCTTTGTCGAGAAAGCAGCTGAGCCCATCTAACTCCCTACTACATATAAGGTAAAAAAAAAAAGAAAAACCACAAGCAGTTATGCCTTTGAAAAATTCTAAAATTGATCAGGCTATGAACAGGCTTGAAGAAAAACTAAGGGCTGTAAAGAAAATAGATTTTTACAGATTTATGGATGTAGTGAAACTTTGCCTAGTACTAGATGTAGTTATGCCATCAAAATTTAAAGTACTAGAGTTTGAGAAGTATGATGGTACCAAGTGTTCTATCATGCATATTACTATGTGCTACCGTAAAATTGTTGTACATGCTATAATGAAAAACTGCTCATGCATGTATTTCAAGATAGTTTAACTGGATCTGTGACAAGATGATATGTCCAGTTAGATAGGACTTATATCAAGACATAAAAAGATTTGATCAGATCTTTTATCAATCAGTATCGTCATATCATTGACATGACTCCCAACCGTCTTTCCCTACAAGTCATGAAAAAAAAAGCGTCTGAATCTTTCAAGCAATATGCTCAAAAGTGGTGGGATATGACTACTCAGGTACAACCTCCTTTAACAGAGAAAAAAATTATTATGCTATTTGTGAGCACTCTAAAGTCACTTTATTATAAAAAAATGATCGAGAATGCAACTAAAAATTTTATAAACATGGTGATTTCGGGAGAGATCATTGAAAATATCATAAAAAATGACAAGCTTGAAAGAGGTGAGTCTTCTAAGAGAGCATCCAAGAAGAAGAAAAGTGAGACTCAGGCTATGAGTCTTGAAGGGTAGCAATTCAGAAGTTATTCTCGACCTTCTTACTTTATATACTATCACACAGTAAGTCATACTTTTGCATCTTCATGCCAGTCAACTACTCGATCATTTTATCCATCTTTTTCAAGATCTTCTGCTCACCCCAGTCAGCACCACAAGCAATACCAAAAAACCACGAACCAGAGAAAAACCAATCTTTGACCCCATACTTATAAGTTACATTGACTTATATCAAGAGCTCTATAAAAGATATTTTATAGCCCCTGTCCTGATAAAATAGCTTCAACCTCTTTACTCTAAATGGTATAATGCCAATGCCCATTGCGATTACCATTTCAGAGTAGCAGGACATTCTATTGAAAATCATATTCCTTTCAAACATAAGGTGTAGAGTTTGATTAAAGAAGGGTTGATAAGCTTTGATACTAGTGGAAGTTCTGCACCTAATATCAACGAGAATCTTTTTTCCAACCATACAGTAAATACTTTAGATACAAGTGAAAAATATACGAAAAAAAGAGGTAAAAGAGCTTAAGATGCCATTTGATCAGCTATATGAAGCCTTATATAAGGTTGGGATGATACAACCAGTGGTTTCATGCACTCATATAGGGAAACACATCTCAAATCAAAAATGTAAATATCATAGTGGAAAGTCTGGTCATTTAATCGATGTCTGCAAACAATTTCATAGTGAAGTTTAAAAACTAATGGACTTTTACTAAATAGAGCTATATGAAGAGTCGAAAGTCTTAAAAGACACTGATGTGGCTATGATAGATAGGTGGGTGCCAAAACCTATCATTATACACTGTAAAAGAAGTTACCATCAGCTAGAAATAAGTTTGTTCCTAAACCAATAGCCTTCAAGGTTCCATGCTTATTTCTTTATAAAGATAACAAAATAGTGCCTTGAAATTATAAATATGAGGTAATGATTCAAAGACAGCAAAAAGAAGTGCCAAAAGTTGAAACTACCCATATAACAAGAGTATGAGGCATAACTAGAAGTGAGAGATGTTATACTTCAGAGACTTTGAATAAGTCAAAAAAAGAGAAAGAAAAACAAACTGAACCAAAAATCTTAAAAAAAGATACATCAAAACCTGTGCTTGAAAATGAGACTTGCAAGTTTTTGAAGCTAGTCAAACACAGTGAGTACTTTGTGGTAGAGCAATTGAATAAGATGCCAGCCAATATTTCTCTATTATCACTTTTTTTAAATTTTTAATCGTATCACAATACCTTGTTAAAGGTATTGAATCAGGCTTATGTAGCCCATAATGTCCTCCGTAGAGTATGTAAATTATCTGGCAGGCAATCTAGTAGTGCCACACCATATCTTCTTTAGTGATGATAAGATCTCACCAAAAGGTAAAAGAAGTACTAAGACATTGCACATTACTGTCAAATGCAAGGGCCATATAGTAGCCAAAGTCGTTATTAATAATAGGTCGACCATTAATGTTATACCCATGTCCACTTTGATGAAATTACCCTTTAATATGTCTTATATCCAAGATAGTCAAATGGTAGTCCGAGCATTCGATGGGACTAGACAAGAAGTATTGAAAGATGTTGAGTTATTCGTACAGATTAGTCTATATATTTTTAATATAAAATTTTAAGTTATGGATATCTTTTCATCATACAACTACTTATTAAGAAGACCATGGATCCACAAGTTAGGCGCTATCCCTTCTTCATTACACTAAAAAATCAAATTCAATGTAGAAAAGCAATTGGTGATTATGGTCGAAAAAAAAGATTGACTAGTAATCCAACCCATAAATGCCTTATATGTATAAGTAGCAAAAGAATCATTAGAATGCTCATATAGATTCTTTGAACCTGTTAATATAATGGGTGAAGGGCTTAAATTCGATCACATCATGATTAATCAGATGGTTAATAAATGTTATAGTATTGGGTTTGGTTTGGGCAAAAACCTTTAAAAGATAAGAAAATTCCCAAAGCTTGAGAACAATAGCGGTAAAACAGGATTAGGTTATGAGATAGAGGAAGTATCAAGCCTTAGTAGAAGGGTAAGGAATGAGTCGATAGTTATTCTCTACCTAAATGAGACTTTCACTCCTGGAGGTACGTGCTTCTAAAAGTTGAAAAGGACACAAAAAAAGGAATCAAAATGGGAGGAAGCTTTTGCCAAGCTATCTATTCACACGATGGATAATGGAAGCCAAAATGAGGAAGCTATGGTCTACCCTTGTCCACCAGGATATGAACTGCAAAATTTGAAGTCATCCAAATGCCAATTATTTTTTATTTTTTTTAATGTAATCACATCTCTTGATCGCTTATGCCCAAAATCATTAGGATAAAATCTTATGTTTGGGCGTTTTATTTTTCATTATTTCAATAAAAGTAGGAGCATGCATTTTGTTCATTTCTTCCATTCCATTCATTCCACCATCAAAATCTTTTGCCAATATTTCCTATTCTATTAACTTTCAGATCCCCAAATGAATGCGACAATAATCATGACAATGATCTGGGGTTTAACTTTGAAAATTCAATTAATATCGATGAACTTGATACTAGAGAAAATTTTGATAAATATACTTTGTCTCCAGATTTGATGAAACTGATGAATAAGAAGATAAATCCATTGAGCCTTATCAAGAAGTGGTTGAATTAGTCAATTTTGGTGATCATAAAAATAAGAAAGAAGTCAAGATTGGCACTTCACTTTTAGTTGTTAATCGATAGTGGTTAGAGGATTTACTCTGGGAATTTGTGGATGTCTTCCCTTGGTTCTACCAAGATATGCCCGGATTCAGCACCGAAATAATGAAGCATAAGTTACCACTAAAGCTAGAATGCAAATTGGTGCAGCAAAAGTTAAGAAGAATGAAATAAAAAATGCTATTAAAAATCAAAGAGAAAGTTAAAAAATAATTTAATGTAAGCTTCTTGCAAGTGACCAAATATCCTAAATTGGTGGCTAATATAATACATATCCCCAAAAAGAATAGCAAGGTGTGGATGTGCGTAAACTATAGAGATTTGAATAAAGCTAGCCTTAAGGATAATTTTTCTCTGCCTCACATTAATACTTTGATGGATAATACAGCTTGACACTTAGTATTCTCTTTCATGGATGGATTCTTTGGCTATAATAAGATAAAAATGCCCTATATGACATGAAAAAGATCACTTTTATCACCATATAGGGAATCTTTTGTTACAAAGCTATGCCCTTTAGATTAAAAAACATTGGGGCAACTTATCAAAGCACTATGGTGACACTTTTCTATGATACGATGCATAAAGAGATTAAAGTGTATGTGGATGACATTATTACTAAGTCCTGAAAAGGAGAAGATCATGTAGTCAACCTCAAAAAGTTATTTGAAAGGTTGAAAAGGTTCCAACTCAAGCTGAATCCAGCCAAATATATGTTCGGAGTCAGGTCAGGAAAGCTGTTGGGATTTATAATTAGTGAAAAATGGATAAAAGTAGATCCAAACAAAATTTAGCTATTAAATTATATTTTTTGGTTTATTTTTCAGCTCACTTTCAAATGTGACACCATTTTCAAACTCCTTCGAAAGAATAATCCGTGGGAATAGAATGAACAATGCTAAAAAGCCTTCAATAAAATTAAGTAGTATTTATTGAACCCTCTAATACTAGCACCCCCTGTTTTGAAAAAACCATTAATTCTATATCTAGTGGTACATAAAGGCTCAATAGGATGTATGCTGGGCCAACAAGATGAATCCAGTAAGAAAGAAAAAGCTATTTATTATCTAAGTAAAAATCTCATAGAGTATAAGTCTAAGTATTCATCATTAGAGAAAATGTGTTGCACTTTAGCTTCGACGACTAAAAGGCTCAAGCAGCACATGCTGTACCATACCACTTTGCTCATAGCTAAATTGGATCCCATCAAATATATCTTCGAGAAGCCTTCACTATCAGAAAGAATTGTAAGATGGCAAGTGTTGCTTTTTAAATATAACATAGCATATGTAAGTCAAAAAGCAATCAAAGAAAGTGTCATTACTGAATTCTTGGTAGATAGGGCCACTAAAGATTATGAGCCCATGAAGTTTGATTTCCTATATAAGAAATTAATGGCCATCTTAGAATCAGAAGAAGATGATGATGAAGAAAAAACAAGGCGGATGTATTTTAATGGGGCTGCTAATGCCATGGGGCATGAAATTGAAGTAGTTTTGATATCTTCAATGAAGCACTATTATCTTGTTACAGCAAGATTAAATTTCAACTGCACTAATAATGTTGTTGAATATGAAGCTTGTGTCATTGGGCTACACATAGCTTTGGATAGTAAAGGTGTTTAGAGATTTAGCTCTAGTCATTTATCAATTAAAAGGTGAATAGGAGACAAGAGATTCTAAACTCATCCCTTATCATAAATACATTTTAGAGCTGAGCAAGTAATTTAAAACAATTCAATTTAAGTATTTACCTTAGGAAGAAAATCAAATTGCAGATGCCTTGGCTACTTTGGCCGTAATTATACAAATTGGTAACACTGTAGAGATTTAACCTATCAAACTAGATATCAAAGACATACCAGTACATTGTGCCAACTTGGAAAAAGAGGAAGATGGCCATCCCTGGTATCATGATATTATGCGATATATAAAGAACCAATAGTACCCAGACCTAGCCATAAAAAATGATAAAAGAATCTTGAGAAGATTAGCCATGGGATATTTTTTAGACGTGAAAGTTTTGTACAAAAGAGGTAAGAATCAAGTGTTACTACGTTGTATAAGTGCATATGAAGCTAAAAGAATTGTTGAAGAGGTGCATAATAGTGTATGTGGGGCACATAAAAATGGGCACATGATGGCGAGACAGGCATGCGGGTTAGGTATTACTGGTTGACAATGAAAAAATATTGCATCGATTATGCTCGAAGGTGCCATAAATATCAAATTTATGTTGACAAAATTCATGTTCCACCCAATGCTTTGCATGTCATAGCACCACCTTGGCCATTCTCTATGTAGGGCATAGATGTCATTAGCCCCATCACATTAAAGGTTTCAAACGAGAATAGATTTATTTTTGTGATGATTGATTACTTCACCAAATAGGTTAAGGCTGCTTCCTTCACAATAGTAACTAGATTAGTAGTCTGTAAATTTATCAAAAGAAAAATAATTTATAGATATGGGTTTCTAAAAAGAATTATATCTGATAATGCCAAGAATCTGAACAGCAAGATGATACAAGAAGTACGTGCTCAGCTCAAAATCAAACACCATAATTCAGCTTCGTATCGCCCAAAAATGAATGGTGTAGTGGAAGTAGCAAACAAAAACATCAAAAGGATTTTGGAGAATATGACTGAAACATATAAGGACTGGCACGATAAGTTACCTTTTACCCTACATGCATATCGAACTTTTGTGTGCACCTCTACGGGAATAACTTTTTTTTTTTGGTTTATGGGATGGAAGCTGTATTACTAGTAGTAAAAATCCCATCTCTAATGATCCTAATGGAAGTGGGACTAGAAGAAGTTGAATGGATTTAAGAACACTATGAGCAATTGAACTTTATTGAGGAGAAGAGATTGATGGTCTTATGCCATGGCCAATTGTACCAAAGAAGAATGATGAAAGCTTATGATAAAAAAGTCAGACCTCAGTAGTTTCGAGAATGAGAGTTGGTATTAAAAAAAAATTCTGCCAAGTCATCATGATGATAAAAGAAAATGGACTCCAAATTGGGATGGGCCTTATGTGGTAAAAAGAGCTTTTTTTGGAGAAGCCTTGATCTTGTCAGAGATGGATGGAAATGAACTTCTTGGCCTAGTCAACTCTAACATAGTGAAGAGGTATTTTGCTTGATCAAAAAAAAAAAGGGGGAGGAGTTCAAGTCAAAAACTCGAAAGGGCGACTTCGAACCAAATGAAGGGTTAGAACTCTAAAAGGCAACTGAAATTGGCATATCAGGGATAGTAAATTCTGAAGAGCTTTGAAGTGTCGGGGCATCAAGTTTTGATTGAATTTTTGAAGGAGATCCAAAATTTGTTGTCATGGTTATCCAATCATTTGTCTTGGAGCACTACAACTCTAAAATAGTCGTTCTTATACATTTTTTCCTTCAGACCATCATTTGTAACTGATTATCCATATAAATGAAAGCTATCTTATCATTCTATACATTGCTCTTCTTCTTTACGCCTTACCATGAATGAAAGAAATGTATAACTTGCATCCTCATGCTTTGAAATTGGGATAATGATTAGTAATTGAATAAAATCATAATAAATGTGTTATTTTAAAAGATTGAAAAGGGATAAAGGCAAAAGATGACTCAAAAAGACTTCAATAGTTTTCCTTAATAGATAGGCGAAAGGACTCATTTGACAAAGAACTCACCTTCAGGTTGATGAAAAATGGTTTTTTTGCATGACTTCAAGCTAATGAAATATGGTTTCTTTGACAAAAATGCACCGTCGGGTTGATAAAAAATAAGTTTTTTACCAAATGTGAAGGGAGATTTCTCTGCTAGAGTGCACGGTGAAAGTGAACATGCAAAATTATATCCGATGGTTTTTTTACAAATGTGTATAGAAACGAGAATACAAAAGCCTTAGTACCACAATTAATGATTCGTTTACATCTTAGATAGGGCATGCATTTGCATTATCTCACTCACTTGATCTTGGCTCAGCCTAGATCACTTCTTATGATTCGTGGTTCCGTCTCGATCATTTATTTTTGATCTCGACTCGATCCTAGTCACTTTATTTTTGACTTATGGTTTTACCCCGATCACTTGTCTTGGCTCGGTCTAGATCATTCTTCATGATTCATGGTTTCATCTCGGTTATTTATTTTTGACCTCGACTCGATCTTGGTCACTTCATTTTTGACTTGTAGTTTCACCCTAATCACTTGGTCTTGGCTCAGTCCAGATCATTCTTCATGATTCGTGGTTTCATCCTGATTATTTATTTTTGACTTCAACTCAGTCTTGGTCATTTCATTTTTGACTTGTGGTTTCACCTTGGTCATCTGATCTTGGCTCAGTCCAAATCATTCTTCATAATTCGTGGTTCCATTTCGATCATTTATTTCTTACCTCGACTTGGTCCTAGTCATTTTATTTTGGATTATGGTTTCATCTCAATAATTTGATCTTTGCTTAGTCCAAATCATTCTTCATGATTCATGGCTTTGTCTCGATCATTATTTTTGATCTCGACTTGATCCTGGTTGCTTCATTGGACTCGTGGTTTAATCTCGATCACCTAACCTTGGTTCAGTCCAGTTCATTTTTCAAATTTGAGATCAAAATGGGTGTTTAGGTCTTTGCAACATCCTTGTCTGACAAAGATGTGCAAAGAAGGGTAACTATAGACACTCATTTTGGTTCGGGCCTGATTAGGCCCATTTTGGTATGGAGCCGATTAGGCTCATCTTAGTCCGGACCTAATATGGTTCGAGCCCAATTAGGCCCACCTTGACCCATTCGGTCTGGGCTTGATTAGGCTTATTTTGACTTGGGCCCAATTGGACCCATTCTAGTCAGGCCCATCTTGGTTCAGGTTCATTTTGGCCCATCTAGGTCCAATTAGGTGCTTTTACTATTATTATTATTATTATTATTATTATTATTATTATTATTATTATTATTATTTTTCATTTTTTTTTATTTTTTTCTCAGAATCTTTACTTTTCGATTCAATATGTACGTGGGCAGAATAATCAGGATCATAATCATGGTCAAAACTTTGATTACAAATCATATCAATGACTGGAATTTTAGACTCAAAAATCTCGCTGGACAGAATGCAATCCCAGAATTCAAGCCTGGGATTGATTCTATCCGATTTCTAAAATTACTCCTAAAACTACCTATAAATTGAACTGATTCTGACACTAGAGGACACATAAAAACAAAGAAAAAATACAAGGGAAATTATTAGGGAAGCTTTGGGAAAATTTTGGCAGTAAGGGTTTCTAGGTTTCGAATATAGGGATTTTCAGGTTCAATTTGTAGTTCTGGGTGTGATTTTGGGTTTCTGAAGGTGGATTTGAGGTTGTAACTGGCTTAAGAAGGGCTAGGATTATCTGAGAATTTTTTTTGGATTTTTTTAGGTTTTTCTCGATTTTCTGAAGAACATTAAATTTTTCGATAAAATTTTTCAACGAAAGTTGAAGTTTCCGACAAGATTTCGATGAAATTTCTAGAATCTGACAGGTTTTCCAAAAATTGCTGGGTTTTTCAATTTTCAATTGGATTTTTCGACAAAGTTTTCAGAAATCTATGGGATTTCTAATTTTTAGTTAAACTTTTTGACGGGCTTCTATAGAGAGGTCAGAGGATTTTGAGGGTAGAGAGAGATGCTTTAAGGTTTCTGAGAAAAAACGTTGAAAGGTACCTTTTATACCACTCCAGAACGACGTCGTTTTGCCAAATCAGGATCCGCTCATCGACCCGAAGATCTGCGTGCTGACCCACATCCCCACCCGACTGATCGTAGGTTTTCTTTTTTCCATTTTCTTTTTATTTTTTGATTTCTATTTTATTTTATTTTATTACCCATATTTTATTTCTTGATTTTTTTAAAGAAAAATTATTCTTTTTTTTTTTTTTAAAAAAGGAAACTTCTTCCAAAAAAAAAAAAAAGAGAGAAGAAAATTTTCTAAAAAAGATAAAAAAACAAAAAAGGGAAAGTATAAAATTTACTAAATAAGGCTTAGATAATTCGAAATCAAACTGGTGCCATCCTTGGGATGAACGTTTTGAGGGTACTATAACATTTCCTATGCGCAATCAACTTTCGAACCTAACTTTTATTTTACAGATAAGTTTTAATTAGGTTGATGACAACTCCTTTCATTCTAAGATCTATACGTATGACAATAGTAAGAAGGAGATCCAAAAATCTTGAAATTTTAATTCAAATTTTATTGTGTATAAATTTGACTTTAATTATTTAGTTATGTTATAATTTATTAATTGATTTTTCAGTAATTATAATTTTATTATAATGTAATAATCGATTATTTCATTGATTATAATGTAACTTAAAAAAATCCATATTGTATATAGTTAAAAAATAATAAATATACTATTATTTATATACATAACACGAAAGAAAAGAAAAAGCCACCTTATAAATCTCTTCTAACTAGTTTTAAAAAGGGTTAAATATTTATTTGATCCATATATTATATACTTTTTATTAGTTTGATATATAAAGAATAAATCTTTGTAATGAGGTGTTTAAACTTATCCTCCATCGAGTGCTTTAACCCTTGTGACTATTATTGTCAATCAAGTAATTGACGTGGCAAAAATATCTAATAAA